AAACAATTCTGCTCGTGTAGTTTCAATATTGACCGACAATTCTTTGTCAGTTTATATGATCATTCCTTATATTATGGTTGTTTTGAATTCCTTATTGACTATAAATTTTCTTTCTAACTCACAACAATAATTTTAAAATTCGGATGTATAGTACATAATTATCCGAACTAAGTGCAAGCGGCTGTTATCCGGAAAGCGAAATAATCGAATAATTGCGTTTAATCAATGTTAACTGCGTTTCCCGAAGTACCCACACTAACTGAAAGCATGTGTTTTCCCGAACAGAGGAAAACTGGGATAATTTGGATAATTCTGTGTTAAATGCCGCTCAAATTATCCGGATTATCTGGAAGTACATGTTATCCGGAGATTGAAATAATCCAGAAAATTGGATTTTATTTCTCTGTAAGTCAAATATGTTTTATGTAATGCAAGAAAGTCTTATTTTAAAATTTTTATTTTATTATATTTCATATCAATAAAGATATTACAGTATCTTTAGCATTACAGGTGTTTTATATTTGCTTTAAAACATGCAATTTTTTTCATTCCATAAAATAATACGCAAAATACACTTTTCTCAATCAAATTAGGCAATGAAATTATATTTTATTTTTTTATTTGCTTGAATGCCTAACTCTTTTAAAACAAAATAAAAAAAGAAATTAATATTTATTTCCTTGCCTGAAAAAAAAAACAGAAAAATACGCATAACAAATAATTTTTCTGCATTACGTACGCACTTGTTGTTAAAAAAATTAAATTTATTATTCTTGACTTCTTCAACTATTTATTGATATCTTGCTTTCAAATGTCATAACTCAAAATAGTTATCTCATAAAACTAATCCTTTTTCGATCCAGGTCTAAAAAAGAATAAGAAATAAATGATAATGAAAAGAACTAAGTATGATTTAAAAAAAAAAAAAGACAGGCGGACGTACAACAGGATAAATGACATCTACTGATTTAAAAGAGTGTGATGAATTTTAAAAGAAATTTTAGGAATTTAAGAGCTAATTATCCAGTGCTAAATGAAGAACTATCGGAAGATTTTGGAAACTTTTTTTTCACTACATTTGTAGTAATGTTTTTAAAATGTTACCTTAAATCTTCATTAATGCGCGTTCAGGCAGGTTTAATTAATTTAATAATGCATCGTTTACATAAAAGATTTACTGTATACATATATATATATATATATATATATATATATATATACATATTATATTCGCATGTAGTCGAATTTCTGTAGCAAAATAATCAAAGATGTACGGCAAAAAGTGGCAATCTGGAATATTCAGATTACCTTACAGAAAAGTTTATAATAACCATTAAAATTTTAAAATGAAAAATACTTAAAAAATGAAAAATAATCCCAAAAACCTCCATTTTTATCTTTTCATTGAGATTCGTTTGCATTGAGGTAACATTTTAAAGAGTTTTGAGTTCAACAGTTACTGTAAACTTACTAGTTTAAAGAATCAAATCTCTAGAAATTCGAGACACGGAATATAAAAGTACTATGCAAGCTATTCAAAAAGTTATTAATAGTATATCAAAAGTACAAACTTTGCGTGAAGAAGGAAATTTAGCTGCAATGACGAAATTTTAATTCGAGTTTAGTGCATTATATAATATGTTTTGATTGTCAAAGTCTATTATCATGTTAATTTGTTCAGTATTATTCAACAGAGGAAGTAAATGTAGATTGCAACAGAAGTAGTAAATTTTATATTTAGTATATAAAGCTAAAAAATTTTTGAATCAATGAGTTTATTTTAACGAGTTGATGAATATAGCAATGTTAAACGAAAAGCGGGGAAAATGTTTTTCTGTCATATTATTCCTCCTAAATGAATATTACCGACAGACTTAAATTTTGTTAAGAAAAGATAGAATTATTCAAGAAGTAACCGTATATATATTCCTTGGATCACTCGGTCACAAGGCTTGCAGTTTTCTTTCCCACAAGAGAAGCCGCAACAGATTCTGTTTTGCATGGATACAGTTCACATCACGAAAACAATAACACCATCTACCATCTTTAAAGTGTAAAACACTTTGCTACTTACATAAAATTTACAGAATACTAATTTTGCACCACATACTGTAAAATAAAATTCTTTACTCAAGGAGAAGAGATATAACACAGCTACGATGTTAGGTGTGCTTATAAAAATAAACATTTGTTATGGCTAAATAATGATTCGCCGAATGAGCAAAGGACAATACCTAATTGCTTTCCTGTTAGTGCTTATCAGCTGCTATATATTTTTCAGTAATATATAAGATAAATTTGTACGGCATGTTTTTAACTGCTGATAATCAACTATATTTTATTATAAAATAGTGGTCTTCAGACTGTGTTCACAGAATCTTTGGGTTCCAAACAACTTCGCTAGGGGTTTCACATGTCAACATCGAATTCGAAAGACTTATGGAAAAAAATGAGAGCTGCAAAACCAACCCTCTCTAATAATTAATTCCAAGATATTTTTTACTTATTTTATTATTGTCCTTAAGATAATATGTAATATTAAGTAAATCTACTTTTATGAGTAAAACTATAACGAAACTATGAATGTTTTTTTATTTTTTACATAAAATGCATCGATATATATGTAACATTTATGGAATCATTAGGATTATTTGAAGCAGGAGATGTGAAACATATGCAGTGTCCTCGCAGGGATTCGAACCCTGGACCTTTCAAATACGTGTTGACTATGCTTCCAATTACACCGTGAAGGCATACGAAAAAGAGGGAGAAAATACCTTATATAGTCTGCCTTTTGCAGGACGACAGGGGATTAGGGGACCCAATCGCCAAATCACGGTGGTGATGAATTATCGTCCACAACCTTTCAGTTCGGGCGTCACTGTAGAGTCATTAGATTATTTCGAAGCAAGAGAACTGAAAAATACGCTGTGCCCTCGCCGGGACTTGAACCCTGGACCCCTCGAATACGCATCGAATACAGTTCCAATTACATTACGGAGGCATGCGGAAAGGAAGTAAAAATACCTTTCAATGATTTTGTTTTAACATTTATTATTTTGGTTAGTTTCACTGAAAAAACTTCTAATTATACGACTTTTACATTAACAAAGGGAAAAGGAGAGAAGAGGAAGAAAACATTATGGGGAGTAAGGGTTAGGGTTTTGAAAAAGGATATTCTAATTTTAGGAAATCTCCGAGTCCAAAGTTTGAGAACCAGTATAAGCCAATAAATATACCATGCACTTCCAGCTATCAAGTCATTCCATAACTAATGCCATTTTTCAGACGTAACTTCTTAAATATGTGCTAACACATTTAAACAATCGATTTTCACTGTTGTATAAATACCACTGAGTAAATACAGTTTCATTAAGATACATTCTGGCCAGGAAGCACACGCATATCAATTTGTTGCATTCATAGTTGAAAGTAGTGGGCACAGAATACCGCATCAGGGTCGTCTTGCTTTACAAGTATAAAAAACCCAATAGTGTAGCAAATGCTGCAAAAATATAGAAGGAGTGTATGATAAAGCTGTTTTGAATCTTCGCAAGTGCCAACGAAGGTTCTGTGACTTTGGACAATGCGACTTGCTTTCCGAAGATGCCAACCACTGGAGGGGCTCTTATTTTTTCTTTTGATAATGATGTACTTGTATTAAAAGTTGCAGTTGGAAGATATCCATGTGCAAATGTTGAGGAACTGGCGAAAGAGGTTAATTCGTCATCATCAGCTGTGCATCACCATCTGAAGGAATGTAGAATCGTATCTAAGCTTGTTAGGTAAGTTTCCATTTGAACATATTGACACAAATCAAGGAAAATCTGTGAAGATCTACACTGCTCTTCATTCACGTGAAAAAAAATTCTCCTTTCTTGAAATCTGTAGTGAATGGTTTCACGAAGCTTGCAAATTTCCACTGATGGAAACGAATACATTTGCAACGAGTGCTTGAAACGAACGCTCAAGACTGTTTCAGTAATAAACCGACCGTTTGCTTATGAAATGGCATAAAGGACATATTACAGAATCGGAAGAATATGGGTGATTAAAATGAGGAGTATGAAGTTGATTAGTATTTTACTTATATTTTTATGTACGAACTCACAGAAGATAAGTGAATAGTAAGCTTCTTGCTCTTAAAATCAAATCTTTGGTTTACCTTAAAACCCTTATTCTATACATTTTAAAAAGTATAATCACTTCCGCTCGAGGTCACGAAAGAAGCCTACATGATTATAAGAATGTGCGTGAGGAAAGAATAAGTGCATTTGTAAAATTATATTTTCTATATTAAATCTGCACCCTGCCTTTCCTGTACATTTTTCAATACTAATTATACTATTATTAACATTAAACATTAAATTTATATTGCCTATTTTTGTATATAGTTTTCAATTCTTAATTATTAAAATAATTTTACTTTGCGTATTCTCCTTCATAATTATTAGTCCGATTACGAAACAATAAGCTTATACTGCCTGTTTTCCAATGTAATTTTCAATCCTTTATTATTAAACAATAAGCTTACATCGCATACTTTTTCTACACAAATTCCGCTTTTAATTATGAAACAACACGTTTGCATTGCGAATTTTTCTATACAATTTTCATTTCCTAATTATTAAACAATAAGCTTACTTTCTTACACAATTTTCAATTCTTAATTATTAGAAAATAATTTTATATGGCATATTTTCCCATTTAATTTAAATCCTTAAAGATTAAAAATAAACTGATTGTTTCCAGTGTAAATAACTCCTAAGCCACCACTAAAATTGTCTTTCCAGCGATACCTTAGCGAGATTCCTTTGTGCAGTCATAAAAATAGGATCCTTATAATAGAAATAATATGCATAGGATGATGATCAGTCAGTTAAATTGGAAATTTGCGCGCAGCGCGACTCAAGAAAGATCAAAATAAAAGGCACGTTCCTTTTCCCCCTTAGCATTCCCTAGGAAGTGAATGTGAATCAAACGAAAGTGTGAGTACTCACCGTGAGTTTTCAGTGGCAGGACGAGAAGGAAACCGAGTAGCACCGTTCGCAGCATGGTCGCCTCCCGCTTTGACTGCCGGGTTTCGTTTGCCGTTTCTCTCGTTCGCTCTTTCACAATTCCCCCGCTGCCACTGCTCAGAAGATTCCCAGAAACGCATGCATGGGCTGAAACAGGAGAGAGAAATAACTCTTTAACCGAGCTCAGAAGCGTCTCTTGTAGCGTTTATTTATGATTTCTTTTTGCGCCTGTCTTTTTATGGGCACTACGGATAAAAACATACGGACTCCAGATATCCGAAAAACCACTTATCCGGATCTCTTGTTTGGTCTCAGTGTCCGTATGTCTTCTTTGTCTCAATCCGAATATCTCGTTCATAATCAGTAATACTGTACTAACTATACTGAGCTCCGTATTTATGGGAATGGTCATAATATTTAACTCAAAATCACCTTTTTTGCCAGGGAAGTTAACAAAGCGTAAGGAACAGAAACAACCCGTATTATTATTAATACTGTTAACTATTTTCCTGTATTTTCAAGTTCCTTTGGTTGACCCTTAATGGCTCTCGTCTAAAAATATTCCACATTTGCTTACCGCAGAATGATGAGAAAGTTACCATTATAACCAGTGTAAAACAAAACTGCCTACGGAAAATACAATTTGAAAAAAATCGTACATGAGTTTCATAACGAGAGGTAGGGATATATCATAATTTCAGGGAGAATGTGGCCAGCCTTTTATTTAGCTGTGAAGTACTTAGTTTTTTGGGGGGAAGGCCACCAGCGGCCGAGCGGTAAAGTCGCTGAACACTGGTAGTTCTGTCCGAGGTTCGAATCCCGCGAACGGGCTGGCTGCATGGGCGTTTTCGTGGTTTTCCCCATGTGTAACGTGCATACGAGCCAGTTCCTCTTAGAAAGTCCTCCACGAAGGCATCCCTTCCCTTGGGTAGATGGCCCTAGTGTGCTTTGCCATAATTGAATAAACCAAACCAAACCGAAGTACTTAGTTTTATTTTATGAAAATAAAAAAAAAAAAAAAAACTATTACTGTTATCCAAACATTGGTATTAATCTACGTTTTTCTGTACCTTTTCTCTTTTTTTTTTTTTTTTTTAAAGTTAAAAATTCATCTAAATCTAAATAAATGTGTGTTTGGAAAGAAGAGGGTGTGAGGATCTTCCGGCAATGGTGCATATGCACGCGTCTCAATTCATTTTTACCAAAATTAAATGTTCATTTTATTAGACCTTTCTCAAGTACCAGCGGCCTAGTGGTAATGTCACTGGACACGACACTGATATTTCGAACTCGGATGATTGAATCCCAGCAAATAGGCTGGCTGCCTGGTTGGTTTTATAACGTGGTGCGAACCAGTTTCCCTTAAAAAGTCCTCAACGAAGGTATCCCTCGTTATAGGTAGACAGCCTTCTAGTTGCTTCACCTTTTCTTAGAGGTAGCAACTTAATGAAAGAATTTTCTTTATGCATATAACACCTTTATGAAATAGGCCGTGTATCAAATGAAAAAAAAAATGAATAAAATATATTTAAAAAAAACTGTTAGGTTTGAGATTTTAAATTACGCCGAAAGGGGCGTTTTTTAACGTTTTGTGTGGTACCTTTATTTTATTAAATATCATGTTATTCGCACTTAAACCAAAAAATTCAGTTCAACAGCAATATCGCAAAATAATTTTAAATGAGCGTATCGTTAGAATTTCCGATACATAGTCTCGCGCGCTGGAGATAAAAATGTTATTTCTGTACAGTGTTGCCATTGTTCGCTTTGAAATCGTTGAGTTTGTTAATAAAAAATTCGTTAAGGTGTTACAAAATATGAAGTCGATAATAAAACAAATTTCAAATTCCGAATTCGGGCTTCCGGATGCCCATATTCGGTGGAAAATTACGACTTTCAAAATTTGATGGCTTTGGGTACCGTTGTTTTATCACAATGCGAGAAACATGCATACATTTATTCAGATTTTTCATTATTTAATTTCTTTAAATATAACACAGGGCGATAATATTTGGTGGCACAATTTGAAAAGTGAACCGACATTTATAGTGAATCAACGCAAAATGCCAAAACAAAATTAATGCCCCTTCTCAGCTAACGCCCTTTTGGATAATAATAATTAATAAAATATCAAACAAAACACTTTCTAATATGCTTTTTTATAGTTTAATTATTTAAATGGTTTCCAAATCTTATTCATCTTCAGCTTTTCTATTTTCGGTACAAGAAACAAGTTTTATACTCTCCTCCAGCGTTTTCAACTTTCCTGAGAAAACTTTCAATTTCTTTACATCGGAGTATACTTGAAAATAAAAAACAGTTTGTTTCGCAGCTGAAAATTTAAAAAGAAAAAAAAAAACTATAGCTGGAACAATGAGCTTTCACAATGCATGATAAAGATAATTTTGGTAATTTTTCTCCAAGGTTACAAATTTTATAAAAGCAAAATGCCATCAACTCTCATAGCTTCAAGTTGAAGTAAGTAATAAAAAAGTTTACAATTATGTACATACAAAAGTACGTATTTCTTTTTATACGTCGAATTAAAATTTAATAAATAAACGAGAAAGCAATAGGGTATTATTCATTCTCAAGTGTTATCTCAACTAGAAATATTTCTTAATTTGTTTATTTTTAGTTTAAGCAATTTATTTAGTGGTTAATCCCATATATTAAAATTATTTGAAATAAATATCGGTCTGGTAATTCAATATTTAGCTCTCAGTGTGTTAAAATTAAAGTGTAACCAAGAGAAATTTTTTCCAGATACTAAAATTTAAAAATCAGATAGGAAAAAAACATAAATTTGATTTTTCCCTTTTGTTTCATTACTAGCCGCTACGCGCCCAGCCTTCGTCTGGCTTTTCAATGTACCAGAAAAATGCCTAAAGGAAACACCAAAGATTAAATTTAAAAACTGCACAGAATTTTACTCTGGAGAACAACTTTATCAAAAAAAAAAATTAAATAAACATGTATTATATGTACAAAACTACAATGAAATAAGCAATATCCCTTAATACAAATATTAATTATATTAATAAATAAATTAACAAACTTCCCGTTGCAAAAAAAATCATGCTAAACTTTTACTGAAAGTATCTTAATAATAGTGAAATTATAAGGTATTCTCCCGCCTTCTTCGTATGCCTTCGTGGTGTGGTAATCTGCAGACTGAGCGCGTATTCCACAGGTCCGCGGTTCGATTTCTGGTGAAGGCGTTGCGCATTTTTCATCTTGCCTGATTCCAAAAAATACCTAATATCTTTATAAAGTAAGCAATAAATACTTTATGTCATATTTTCAATAATTAGCAACGTTTTAATAAGTATTTAGTAAATGAAATTTAAAAGTTAGTTAATATTTTAAATTTTATTAAAAATGCTTTTTATTTTATTCAAAAATTGGCTCGTCAGCTGCTTCCAGATTATGCATTCGGCCAGTCTGCAATTTGGGCTTTTGACCACTGGTCTAATTTATGGTGTTAAAAACATATTTAGGAAATGATACAAATTACTAAAAAGTAATTTTATAAATTTTCCAAAAAGATTTTTACCATCATCTTAAAGAAGACGTATTTCTAAGCATACCTGTAAAAATTACATTGCGAAAAAAAAAAGGGGGGGGACACTTCTTTATCTCTCGTTCTATTCGGCCGATTGACGAAATTCAACATGCGTTTTTCGTCTCGAAAGCGCGACTTAGGATATGTACTAGATTTATATATAGCATTGTTCTAATATAGGTATTTTGACACAAAATCGGACTTTTTCTGAAATAACATACCAATTTTTCCCATATTTCGATTCTGCGCCTCAAGTTACGCCAAACTGCCTAGTTTTGTAAAAATCGCACGAGTAGTTTTTAAAAAATTAGCTCTCAAAATTTTAGCACCTCAGTGTTAATTGAGTTTGGTATATATTTATTAATTTACCCTTTTTTTATTAAACTTATTTGATACTTCCTTTCACATTTCGAAATTTAGGTTCATTCCAAATAAAATTCACCCTTTTTTGTGATTTATTTTTAAAATTTGTATTTTTAAATAATTTTTATAAATTTTTCAAAAAGATTTTTACCATCATTTTAAAGTAGACGTATTTCTAAGCGTACCTGCAAAAAATTATAGTTTTTTTTATTCAAATTTTCAAAGATATACGTGAATTTATATATTGGCGCGTTTTGAAATTTGGTATATTTGTTGAAAGCGATATAACATCAAATGTGGTTTAGACACTTTGTAGTAGAAACGATGTCACTTTTTTTCCGCTCACGCACAGTGTAAAAAGGTAGGCTACCTTTTTACATGCCTACCTACTCGTGCCTACCTTTTACCTCCTAAATATGTAGGAGGTACTGCACGAATCCGCTCCGGCGTAATGGAAGGAAAAGGAAAATTGGTTGCCACATATTAAGAAGTTCGCCAAGTGAATTATTCTTGGCGTAAACTGAAAAAATTGTGCCAAGATAAATTTTTGAATTTCTCCGTAAATTTCGCACAAAATTTTAAAAAATTTAATATTTAGGCATACTTTGAGTCGTAGAATCGAAATATGGAAAATAATTGGTATGTAATTTTAAAAAAAGTCCTATATATATATAAAATATATCTATAGTCGAGGTTTCGAGACATGAAAAACGCAATTTGCATTTTGTCAATCGGCCCAGTAGAACGGGAGATATAGAACTATCCTTTTTAGTCCAAAGGGGCTTTGTCCCTGAAGGACTATTGTTTTCGCTTTGCAATTTTATGTTGAATCACTATAAATGTCCGTTTCACTTTTCAAACTGTTGCCACCAAATGTTAGAGTCTAAATAATGAAAAATGTGCATAAATGTATGTATATTTCTTGCATTGTGATAAAACAACGGTACATAGAGCCATCGAATTTTGAATGACGTAATCCTCCTACGAATATGGGCATGGGGAAGACCAAATTTGAAATTTGGAATTTGTTTTATTATCGATTTCATATTTTGTAAAACTTTAACGAATTTTTGAGTAACAAACTCAACGATTTGAAAGCGAGCAATGGCAACAATCCACGGAGTGGAAAAACCTTTTTATTTCCAGCGCGCGGAACTGTGTATCAGGAATTCTAAAGATATGTTCATTTAAAAATTATTTTGTGACATTGCTATTGAATGAATTTATGGTTAAAGTGCAAACATGATATTTAATAAATAAAGGTAACACA